TTCCGTATCCAATCAATAGAAGCAATAATCCTCTACCTGGATCTTAAATAAAAAGAATATACCAACACCAACCGAGTAGAATATAACTTAACGAGATAGAAATCCCGAGACATTCTACTATATCTGAATCTGATTACTGACTATATTCTATTCTAAATCACTAAGAAAAAAGAAAAAAAAANAATAAGACAGACCTCCTCTTTGATTTAACCTCTTCTTTAGATTTTATTATATTCATATGTTTATGAATATTCATTTCATATGTTTATTTTGTTTTCATATTTATATTGAAATTGAAACATAAAAAAATCTAAAAAAGAAACTAGAATAGAAAAAATATTCTATAGAATATAATATATATGTATGAATATGAATAAATAGAATTCAAAATAGATATAAATTATCTAATTCCTATATATAGGAATTAGATAATTTATATCTATTTTGAATTCTTTATTTTATATTTTATTTGAATTTTATTTGAATTACTTTTCTTTATCTTTATAGAGAATCCGAGGTGAGGTGAAAGCGAGAGAGTCTTATTTGTATAAGTATAAGAAAAAGCATGATATGTCTATACCATAGCGAAAAAAATAAATCGAAGTAAGTCTAAATAGGATTCTATTCGATGAATCTTGAAATGAGACATGATCACAGCAAACAAACGAAACTAGGTTAGGTGGTTCGATCAAAATTCATTCTTATTTCGACTAAGCAAAGCAGTTATGGATGAATTGACAATTATAATATAAATATAATTCGAATTGACTAATCCGGTATATTTTCCACATTCATAGGAGTGCATCTATGTTTCTGCTTCACGAATATGATATTTTCTGGGCATTTCTAATAATATCAAGTGTTATTCCTATTTTGGCATTTCTAATTTCCGGAGTTTTGGCCCCGATTAGGGAAGGACCTGAGAAACTTTCTAGTTATGAATCGGGTATAGAACCAATGGGCGATGCTTGGTTACAATTCCGAATCCGTTATTATATGTTTGCTCTAGTTTTTGTTGTTTTTGATGTTGAAACGGTTTTTCTTTATCCATGGGCGATGAGTTTCGATGTATTGGGTGTATCTGTATTTATAGAAGCTTTAATTTTCGTGCTTATCCTAATTGTTGGTTCAGTTTATGCATGGCGAAAAGGAGCATTGGAATGGTCTTAGCTCCTGAATATTCAGACAATAAAAAGAAAAAAGAAGAAAAAAATGACATTGAGATAGTTATGAATTCCATTAAGTTTCCGTTACTTGATCGACCAACCCAAAATTCTGTTATTTCAACTACATTGAATGATCTTTCAAATTGGTCAAGACTCTCCAGTTTATGGCCGCTTCTCTATGGTACCAGTTGTTGTTTCATTGAATTTGCTTCATTAATAGGCTCGCGATTTGACTTTGATCGTTATGGACTGGTACCAAGATCGAGTCCTAGGCAAGCAGACCTAATTTTAACAGCCGGCACAGTAACAATGAAAATGGCTCCTTCTTTAGTGAGATTATATGAGCAAATGCCCGAACCAAAATATGTCATTGCTATGGGAGCCTGTACTATTACAGGAGGGATGTTCAGTACCGATTCTTATAGTACTGTTCGGGGAGTCGATAAGCTAATTCCTGTGGATGTCTATTTGCCGGGCTGCCCGCCTAAACCGGAGGCAGTTATAGATGCTATAACAAAACTTCGTAAGAAGGTTTCTCGAGAAATATATGAAGACAGAATTGTGTCTCAACAGAAGAATCGATGTTTTACTACCAATCACAAGTTTCATGTTGGACGCAGTACTCATACTGGAAATTATGATCAAGGATTACTCTATCAATCGCCATCTACTTCAGAGATCCCTTCTGAAACATTTTTCAAATACAAAAAGTCAGTATCTTCCCACGAATTAGTGAATTAGGCAGGATGCTTTTGTACAGAATAACAAACTGCGGGTCAATCTTCATAAATTTCATCGTAAATGTGAAATACTTCTTAATCTTAATACAGTACAAAAATGCGGGAGAGATCAAAAAGATGCAGGGTCGTTTGTCTGCTTGGCTAGTCAAGCATGGGCTAGTTCATAGATCTTTGGGCTTCGATTACCAAGGAATAGAGACTTTACAAATAAAGCCCGAGGATTGGCACTCCATTGCTGTCATTTTATATGTATATGGTTACAATTATCTACGTTCCCAGTGTGCCTATGATGTAGCACCAGGCGGACTGTTAGCGAGTGTGTATCATCTTACGAGAATACAGTATGGTGTGGATCAACCGGAAGAGGTATGCATAAAAGTATTTGCGCCAAGGAGGAATCCTAGAATTCCGTCTGTTTTCTGGATTTGGAAAAGTGCAGATTTTCAAGAACGGGAATCTTATGATATGTTGGGAATCTCTTATGATAATCATCCACGCCTGAAACGTATCTTGATGCCTGAAAGTTGGATAGGATGGCCTTTACGTAAGGATTATATTGCCCCCAATTTCTATGAAATACAAGACGCTCATTGA